GTCTATTTAATGACCTGTTGCTTTCTTCATGTATGCTGTTCTTGATGTCTTCCCACAGCTCATCACATCTTTGTCGTTAGTGTTCAGTGTGTCCATTCTGTTTTTGAGATGTTCTTGGATGAGAGGAAGAGGGCGTATAATTAGAGAGGAAAAAGACCTGGGAGAGATGCTGATAAAAAAACACAGGTGTTGATCTATTAAGTTTTCAAATCACACTCACTATAAGAATGAAAACTCAAGAGGTGCTCTGAGAACAAGCCCGGCAGGAGGTTATGTATTTATATTTAAGTAGATAGGCTATTATGAAGCATCTTGTAGTATGCATACAACAGGAGTTCACAGAATAACATGAAGAGGGACAGACAGTGCTATATAAAATGGCATGTTCTTTGCAAAGGCCCACAGCCCTATGCCTATTTAACGTAATACCTGGGTAAGGTTGACTCAATGTTTGCCTGATAATCAAGAAATCTGGGTCTATCCCAAGTTTGTTGTCTGATTGTGTGACTCTGTGCTAACCACTTCCCCTCTTTGCCCACAGGTAGGGGAGAGAAAAAGAAACAAAACGAAATAAAACAAAACCCCTCCACCTTGCTCATCTCACGTGAACTTTAATTTTAGACTTAAAACAAAACAATCATGAACAAGCTTGTTTGGAACGCCCCTTGGGCGCTGTAACTTACTGGGTTTTTGTGGGAGCTTAATTTAGTAAAAAGACACACCTCTTGAAAATGACATTCATGATCTCACAGGAAATGGATTAGATCTATAAGCAGTGTGAGGTTTGGCAACAACTCTATCCAGGGAAGGAAGCGGCAAAAGAATTGTGGTTCAGTGACTTGGCTTGGTTTAATGGAAAGCACACGGCCTTCAAATGGGTAGTAAACTGTGTACTTGGCTGAATTTTAATTCTCTCTCCTTGTCTAAGACATTTCTCTGTGCCTAGGTTTCTAGAGATATGAAATAATGACAGGATTACCTTATTAGTTACTGCAAAGATTAAATTAATGTAAAGTTCTGTAGTATTCTGTGTCTAGTTATAGATTACACAATCCTAGGGGAAAATAAAATGAAAATAGTTTATTTATTTTTGTTTTGAGGACTGATATAGTCCAGAAGCTTCTCAGTTCATGCTAATTTGGGACACATGGGGACAAAGATTGAAGGTCTTTTCAAGTCAGTATCTGATTGGACAAAGTAACAGTGGCTGTTACAATGAGTCTTGGTGGCATAGTCAGTTACAGGTTGGGCTGCTCCTCACAGGGTCAGCAGTTCAAACTCAGCAACTGATCCAAGGGGGAAAGATGAATCTTTCTTTCTCCTGTATGGATTTACAGCCACTGAAACTCACACACCCTATAGTGTCATTATAGTCAGAACTGGATTAATGGAAATCCGTTTAGTTTTGGTTTTATTACAGGGCAAGGAACACACTGAGAATATTTAATTGCCCCTAGTCTCACGTAATGAAGGGAGCATCAAAAGTAGATGGAAAGAGTGCATGTTATCACAGCACCAAAAAGAACTAGTCGACACTCAGCCATTTCAAGAGGCAGAATATGAGAAAGAGTGAAGGGAACTGAAGGAAATAAGAATTCAAGGTGTCTGGAAGGCATGTGACCAAAACAAGGCTCTAAGAATTGGTGGAATAATAGCTGAAACATTTCAACAAGCGATGAAACACTGAAATCACCCACTGGGCTATGCCCAGTCCTTTGGAAGACAGTTATCTGGACTGGAAAATTACATGATTTAAAAGCAAGAAAGGTGTGTGTTATGGTTGGACCCTCTCACCATACTTATTCAATCTATGTGCCGAGCAAATAGTCTGAGAAAATGGATTATATGAAGAAGAAAGTGGCATAAGGTTTTGAGGAAGGCTTATTAATCACCTGTTATACAGAGATAATGTTAACTTGTTTGTTGGAAGTGAGGAGGACTTGAAGTGCTTGCTAATGGAGACCCATGATTACAGCTTTCAGTATGTGTTGCAGTTCAATGTATAGACAAACAGGATCCTCACAACGTACCAATAAGTAACATCATGATAGACAGAGGAAAGATGAAGTTGTCAAGGATTTTGTTTGCTTGGATCCCCAATCAATGCTCATGGAAAAAGCAATATAGTGATCACATGATGCATTTCATTAGGTAAATCTGCTCAAAAGACGTCGTTAGACTGTTTACAGGCTAGGGTGATTTGAGAGCTAAGGTGTGCCTGAGCCAAGCCATGGTATTTCAATTGCTTCATATGTACGTGAAGCTGGACATTGAATAAGGAAGACCGAAGAAGAATCACTGGATTTGAATTTTGATGCTGGTGAAGAATACTGAAAGTATTATGAGCTGCCAAAAGAACAAACAAATCTATCTTGGAAGAAGTAAAGCCATATTCTTCCCTTGAGGCAAGCATGGTGAGACCCTGTCTCAGGTACTATCACTACATTATCAGGGAGACCAGTCCCCGGAAAAGGACACCATGCTTGGTCACGCACGGGCAAGGAACAAGAGGAAGATCTTCAGGGAGATGGAATGACAAGTGGCTGCCACAAGGAGCTCAAACATGACAGTCATTGTGAAGATGGCACAGCCCCAAGCCGTGGTTTGTTATCTTGCATTTAGGGTAACACTGAGGGGGAACCAACTCGACAGCCACTAACAGCAAGCCTCTTTAACGTTCCTACGTCTTGCAGACGGGTTGTGCTCCACTGCCAGTCTTAAGATCAGCAAATTTTCTACCCCCAAAAGAAAAGCCAGAAGGAATCTCCTTCAGTTAACATTACAGCGCCCCAAACCCCGATTAAGCACCGTCTCTCTCAGCAACACGTGGTGGGGTGGGTGGGTGGGGGGAGGGCATGAGTTGGAATACATTTGTGTGTGTGTGTTTGTTAAGTTTCTTTTCAGGAACTTCGAACCATCAATTTCTAACACATCTTGCTTTGCTACAGGTTGCTATGAGGCTTTTGGGTGTCCCTACAATTCATCTTTTTAATCAATGGAAAGGAAGAAACAGCCTTCCTTTATTATTATCTAGGTCAGCTCTCTGTGAACAAGCCGCCTGCAAATCCCACCGGCTTCTCAGAGCTGTCTCGGATCCTTCCATTCTTCATTATGCTATTCCCATGGTAACCTTCAGGAAGTGAGCTGTGGGACAGTTAACCATTGAATGGTTATTTTTAGCTCTGGCCAGATGCTTTGATAAATCTGTTTAGGGAGGGAAATCTAAGCAAATATAATTTATTTCAAAGACAATGTTATTTTAAAATTAATGGAATGAAATGTAAAGACCTTGATCAATCAATGGACAAAGCCCTGCTCTTATGATGACGCACTTCTACATCAAAGGCACCCTGGTGGCCCAGTGGGTTATCCAGAGTCCACAAGCAACTCTGAAGGGGAAAAAAGAAAGCTTTGAACTGCCTTAGATATTTTCAGCTTCTGAAACCCCTGGGGGCAGTTCTCCCCTCTACTATGGGGTCATTATGAGTCAGAATCCACTAGATGGCAGTTAGTGAGATGCTTCCAAATCATACAAAATTTTCTTCTTAATCTCTTCCCACCCAACTTCCTCCCATAGCATTGCCTCACATGTGAATTTCTTGCTATTGTGCAATGTCATATGCCAATATTTGCAATGCATTAATTGGTGAACCAATATCTTTCAAAGTATGTTAAAAAGTTACGCAGCATCTACAAACGATGTTGCTAAAACTCCATTATAAGTGAGAGTCCAGTTGATGTTCATGTAATAGCACAAAAAAAGTATGTAGTGTGAGTCTTCAGTTTCATCTCAAAGAAACAACCATTTGTCAAGTTTAGGTGTTGTATCAAAGAAGTATACTCGGTTATCTGAAATGATATTAAAATCTTTTTCTTTCCAACCCCCAAATATTCCCTGAAGTCTTCTTAACATCAATCTGCCTGTCTGAGCATTATCCAATTTACACATCAGGCTATACCAAATTTACAACATGTACTTGAAAGATGAGATAAAGACTTCATGGGGCAGCTAGTTCATTAATGTGAGAGGTGCACATGGCTGTACTGCTAGAAGAATGTGATCTCTATTGCTGAACTGTACATGTAGAAACTACTTTTTATTATCTATACTCTCAAAAAATAAAATTAGAAATAACTTCTTTTTTCAAATAAATAAATTAATTAATTTTTAAAAACTACCTAGTTTGGTCCTTCAGTGCACTCTAGTATTGCTGGGCAGAATTTTCATCAAAGTAATCATTGATTTCTGATTTAGTATGATAGGTGAGATAGGATTCTCACATCAGGCAGGTAGTCTTAGTATTCTTTCTGAGACTTGCTTACTTCTGTTGCATATTTATGAGTTTCCTTTTTATGCCTAATTTTGACTCATTACCCCCTATCGTGTTTCTTGTTTCTTATGTTCTCCCTCTGGGCCAATCTGTCTTGTATTCCTGATTCAATAATTTCTTAACAGTCTATTGAACCCCTGTCACTGGAGGTTAGCTACTTAAATCTCAGCATAATTTTATACATCTTCTATTTCCGGGAAATTGGGACTCAAAAGACTGTAAAATTTGGTAAATCCAGAGGTAAAAGAAATATACATTTTATCTAGAAAAATGATGATGATAAAATTGACTGAAATAGCAAATGTAGAAATTTGACAATGTCTACCTGTTATATGAAAAATAATGCAGATATTAATTTCATCACATAACAACTTAGAAGTCATAATTTTTAAGATGTCCTATCATTTGATGTGCCACCAATAAAAGAAAAACAGAAAATCCTAGCTGCTAAGGATGCTTGTTTGTTAAATTAGAGGGCTTCCATCTCTATCTCCGTTACAGATGTGCTAATGTAAAAGACTTGTATTAGAATCGACAAAGCCAGCATTCACTTCACTTTTACAGAATGCTGTTTATGCTTACGACACATACAGAAACTTGTTGTCTTAAAATATCAGGATGTAAGAAAATCAATGCAAGCATATTTACCCTGTAATGTTTTCCCTTTAGCAACCAGCCACTGAGCTAGAATTTGATCGAGTAGTGATTTATACCACGTGTCTTCGTGTGGTACGGACAACGTTTGAAAGATGTGAACTGGTTAGAAAGATCTTCCAAAATCATCGAGTAAAATTCGAAGAGAAAAACATAGCTCTGAATGGTGACTATGGAAAAGAGTTAGATGAACGATGCCGACGGGTTTCTGAAGCTCCATCCCTCCCCGTGGTGTTCATCGATGGCCATTATCTTGGGGTAAGTATTCCTCTAAGGAAAATCTACTTCTTTATCATTGAAGCCAACAATTTGTTGAAAGAAATCAATAAGCCAAAGAAAGGTATCCTGTGATATAATTATCCAAACATTATTTTTTGATGCTCAAACCAAAGAGATTGGACCACTTATTTCTATTTCCAACAATGCTCATTCCCACCGGAGCACAGTAGGATAAGGTTAGCGTGAAATTATCTTTGGAATATAAGCATATCATTTTAATTTTTTCCAGTGACTTAATTTTTGCATTTTGAAGCTTGGCTTGTGGGATAAAAATTTCTTTTTTAATGCAGGCAAGGCAAAGGGAATGTAAATTTTCGTACACCCCATTATCCAACACTCAGTTTCCTACCTAATGAACCTGAGATGACAATCTCCAAATGGAATCAATAAAAAATGAGAGCCTTGAGCTAGAATTTTATCTGCTTGTTACAGAAAATTATTCTTGATCTTGGCAATGCTGCAAGAGGAGGCACAGATTCAGACTAAGAGTAAGCAGGGAGAACGCCTAGGGCAGTAACCAAACCCATCTGCTCAATTTCCCTTTGA